TTGCACTAAATAACTTTTTTTAGGATGTTCTCTTATATGGAGTGAACATTTACATTCATGTTCGTGAGTGACACTTATGGCTAAAGTTATTTGTCTATATTACTATAGTAGAATTACCACAGCAAATAACCATTCATAAGTTACTACAATTTACTATAGTACCTTTACTATAGTATGGTTCAAAAACACTATAATATTTACCAGAGAAATGTTACTACATTTTCCATGGTAAATTTACTATAAATTAATATAGTATTTTTTTTTTTCACAATTGACTATAGTAGGCCTACCTTTACGTATGGTTCAACAACTCTATAGTATTTACTATAGAGATTTTACTACATTTCCATGGTAAATTTACTATAAATTACTATAGTAGGCCTACCTTTACTATAGTATGGTTCAAAAACACTATAGTATTTACTATAGAAATTGTACTACATTTTCTATAGTAAATTTACTATAGTATTTTTTCATGTGGGTTGTAACTACAATATGTAACGTTGTGTTAAATGCTACTGTCTATGGTTAAATGCTTATTTGTGGGTGCGATTGTATAAAAAGCAACTAAAAAATTCAACCATATCACATATTTCTTCTTTTCCTTTCTTTTCTTTTCTTTTCTTTTCTTTTCTTTTCTTTTCTTTTCTTTTCTTTTCTTTTCTTTTCTTTTCTTTTCTTTTCTTTTCTTTTCTTTTCTTTTCTTTTCTTTTCTTTTCTTTTCTTTTCTTTTCTTTTCTTTTCTTTTCTTTTCTTTTCTTTTCTTTTCTTTTCTTTTCTTTTCTTTTCTTTTCTTTTCTTTTCTTTTCTTTTCTTTTCTTTTCTTTTCTTTTCTTCACATAATTGCACGGATTTCATTTTAAACTACTTTGTAAAAGTGGGATAAATGTCATTGGTGTTTCTGTGGGCAGACAATGAACTCCCTTAAAAGTATTTTTCACATTTTCACTAATTTATTCAAATGTATCTACTAGATAAATGTCAAAGAGTAGCCAACATAGCCTACACGCATATCACGCGGGAATTCTGTCATTTTGTATTTTTTCTTCTGCACGTTTCCACTCCAGTGCCATTTTATTGACATTGTCTCCTTGTTAAAGTATGCACACTAAACGATGAATAAAACTGAGGGTAAAAAAAAAGTTTTAAAGTCTTGGACTGAGACAAGGACAAAACAACATAAATATATTCATGGAATGCATTTGAAAAGTATAGAAAATAAATGATGAAGGTATAGTAAACGTTTCTGAGACAATTTTAATGTCACCTTCATTCAGCAAAAAAGTTGAAAGTCTGTTAATTTTAATAAAAAACAAACAAACAAATATATCAACATAAACTGTTGGGACATAAAAGGGACATAAAAGTGCATCCCAAAATGGAAAGATAGGCTACATTTAAAATTCTTTTTAAATAACCCTTTTACATTTATTTCAAAGAAAATGGTCAAAGCGTGAGATATTTAAAAATAAAGTTAATAGCTACAAATTATCACAATTATTTCCCCTCTATTTTCTTCATTCCCACGAAAACATGGCTTGTCCACCCCAAAACTGGCAAGTTACGATAAATTCGATTCAAGTCTATGCGCGCCACTGAATGTGGGTAATATGTAGAGAAAAGCTGCGGTTGAACCCACGCATTCAGAGCAGCACAAGGTTTTATTGAGGGTGACCCCCGATTGCTCAAACCAAATAGAGTTTTAGCAAGAAGCTCTTAGCTATTCAATTATAATTGGTGTATTCGGTAATAACAAGCATATGCGTTTTAGCACAATTTCTTTTCTTTTCTTTTCTTTTCTTTTCTTTTCTTTTCTTTTCTTTTCTTTTCTTTTCTTTTCTTTTCTTTTCTTTTCTTTTCTTTTCTTTTCTTTTCTTTTCTTTTCTTTTCTTTTCTTTTCTTTTCTTTTCTTTTCTTTTCTTTTCTTTTCTTTTCTTTTCTTTTCTTTTCTTCACATAATTGCACGGATTTCATTTTAAACTACTTTGTAAAAGTGGGATAAATGTCATTGGTGTTTCTGTGGGCAGACAATGAACTCCCTTAAAAGTATTTTTCACATTTTCACTAATTTATTCAAATGTATCTACTAGATAAATGTCAAAGAGTAGCCAACATAGCCTACACGCATATCACGCGGGAATTCTGTCATTTTGTATTTTTTCTTCTGCACGTTTCCACTCCAGTGCCATTTTATTGACATTGTCTCCTTGTTAAAGTATGCACACTAAACGATGAATAAAACTGAGGGTAAAAAAAAAGTTTTAAAGTCTTGGACTGAGACAAGGACAAAACAACATAAATATATTCATGGAATGCATTTGAAAAGTATAGAAAATAAATGATGAAGGTATAGTAAACGTTTCTGAGACAATTTTAATGTCACCTTCATTCAGCAAAAAAGTTGAAAGTCTGTTAATTTTAATAAAAAACAAACAAACAAATATATCAACATAAACTGTTGGGACATAAAAGGGACATAAAAGTGCATCCCAAAATGGAAAGATAGGCTACATTTAAAATTCTTTTTAAATAACCCTTTTACATTTATTTCAAAGAAAATGGTCAAAGCGTGAGATATTTAAAAATAAAGTTAATAGCTACAAATTATCACAATTATTTCCCCTCTATTTTCTTCATTCCCACGAAAACATGGCTTGTCCACCCCAAAACTGGCAAGTTACGATAAATTCGATTCAAGTCTATGCGCGCCACTGAATGTGGGTAATATGTAGAGAAAAGCTGCGGTTGAACCCACGCATTCAGAGCAGCACAAGGTTTTATTGAGGGTGACCCCCGATTGCTCAAACCAAATAGAGTTTTAGCAAGAAGCTCTTAGCTATTCAATTATAATTGGTGTATTCGGTAATAACAAGCATATGCGTTTTAGCACAATGGGTGGACTCTAAAAGGAACCTCAACAGCACATTAAAACTGCATTACTCCTTCCAAGAAGTGTACTCAAGATCTTTCTGGTCTCGATGCGCACACCGTTCCAAAAGCGCACACGTCTCCAAAGGTGCACGTTTTACCACACAAAAGAGTTGACATTGTTTGAGTTTTAACAAGAGGTGTACATATGGCATCTGGGTTGTAATTAAATGTTTTTAAGTTGTTGTTTTTGTCTGTGCAGCGAAGTTTCCTTTTCTTCTTAATGTGCAGCCTTTTCCGAGTCTGAACAAGAGAGACGAATGAAATAGCTTTTCTGCCAGTTTGGAACAAATGGATGGCAAAAAGCTGGTCAGCGAGTTTTAGTCCTTGATTGCCTTCTTCAGATGCCCTTCAAACAAAGGCTGGGGATGAAAATAAAGCCCCACCTGGTACTTCTGTTTGCTAAAATAATAAGAAATAGATTTCGTTTCATAAATAATTGCAACAGATTGTAAAGTGCAGCAGTTGAAGAAGTATCAATCAAGACAGCGAGGCCAGGTATCACCTGCTCTTCAGTAAGACGAATTTATTGTTAAATCAGATTCTTTGGATTATCTATGATTTCCACAGCAACAGGTCGCCTATGTTTGCCCATACTTTGCATAACAAGCAAGATATTACTAGGCACTGATAAAAATCGGGGGACAGATCTGACAATCCCAAACCCACACCTGTCCCGCGATATCCTAATATGGATCTGGCATCGGGTTATTTGTAAAGCGGTAATATTTGGTTTACTTTGGATAATTTCGAGACCTTTATAACCGCACGACATCATTCCCTATCTCCTTGCTTTATTTGTCCATTTTATTGAAAGCATATGGTTATCAGATGTCCTACAAAATACATATTTAGTTAGACTGGCGATGAGTGCCTTTGTGGACACTTGGGCACCACGGTAAATATTTTGCGCCCATAACAGTGCTCATGGTCTCTCCAATAAACGAAGATTTATCGAGGCTTGGGGGCTTGGGGCCAAGTGTAAACGCGTGCTATCCGACCATGTTGAAAGTCTTTTGTTTGCAACTGCGACCAAATTTATGACGCGCACTTGATGTTCTTAATAACGGACTCCGTTTGGAGACACCAGTGCGCACGCATTTTATTTTCTATGCAAATGTTTTTGTGCATAACATTCTGTGTTTTCATTGTACTATGGAAGTGCTGCTGCACACAAGTACAAGTTATTCCACATTTTCTTCAATTAAATATTATTTTCCCAGGGTTTTGTGCACTACAGCACAATTTACGCACAGGAATATCGCCACAAAGCGCCCAACGGCAATGACACTAATATAATACTGTTTATCAGTAATTCGTTTCCGTTTCGAATAATGAAAATTTCTTGTTGAAACTGGTATGTTAAGTGCCAATAAAATGTCCATTAACCATGTATGTTCATAATACCTACATGATGTGTTAACACCAGTCACATAAGACTATTCCTGCTCCAGATCTGTGAAATTTTCTATCTTCCAGAAATTGATGTTTGATAAAACCTCATGCATATACAGTAACATTATTATAATTCAATAATGAACAATGAATTAATTTCAAAATAAAGGCTTATAAGCCACTATATTTGCAATAAGCTGGTGATGAAATTGTTTTAGATAAATGCATGAGTGCTATTATAAACAACAACAGCAATAACAACAACAGACAACTATAGGAAACTTCACCTGACATGTTATACCCTGTTTTTAAACCCTGTCTTAGTTTATTTCTTAACCATGAAGGCAAATTTCGGAAAGGGCCGTCTCTGATTGGCCACTTGACTCCATTTGTTTGTCCTAGAGCGCAGATAGGATAAAGGGGCATACATGACGAATGGGCGCATCACCCTCTTTGTCCCTTTGATATATATATATTAAGGGAATGAAAAGAGACTGCATGTTGCTCACTGGTGGACAGGACGCGCAGTGCTGTAGACCACCACCTTCACGGAACCTCGGTTTCACTGAGCCAGTCTGCAAGCCAAGAGGTAAGTATCTGGATTATGATAGTTTTCTTATAGGTTGTTATCCAAGACCTTGGACTGAAGTTGTCCTGTTGTGTTTTTCATGTACAGAATGACTCCAGGGTCCACGTGCGCGTCGGTAGGAAGGAATGGAACATTTAAATCTAACTGGAGTTCAGCATTAGATCTCAAGTCTGGATCCACAGACATTACCAAAAGCCAGCAAATCAAATGCAACAGAGAATTTGAGCTTGACAGCATAGACTCGGCGACGAAGGAATGCTCATCTACCGTCAACGAAGAGAACACAAGAAGTAAAAGAATGAAGAAAAAGATGCCAGTTAAATCAGCTAGCAGACAACGTGGGAATCGCAGAGTGAAGGCAAATGACAGAGAAAGGCACCGCATGCATAATCTGAACTCCGCCCTGGATACTCTGAGAAGCGTGCTTCCAACTTTTCCCGATGACGCGAAACTGACTAAAATTGAGACTTTGAGATTCGCGCACAATTACATTTGGGCATTGTCGGAAACATTGAGAATTGCAGACCATGTTCGACAAACTTCAAATCACGATCGGGATCAGGAGAACCTCACTGTGCCAAATGCTTGCTTGGATTCGCGTTATAGCGCATCTAGCGCACGCGCGTCCAAATGGCACTCCACAAACTCATCATCAAATTGGCAAGAAACTCAAGGCTACTACGCTGACTTGTTACTAGAGGGATTTAACTGCAATTTCAATTTTCAGGACAATCTGACATTTAATCTGATCTGCAAATAGCAAAACAGATCTTGCAAAAGTTGTCCCTTGCTGTAAAGTCCACGAGAATGACATGTAGGGCAGGTCATAAGTGTAGAAATGTTATTTTCCGTTTATGCCTTAAGAAAAACGTCATGATTTAATCACTTTAATTATTCAATTGATTTATTGTATGTTTCCAGTCATTTTTATACGCAAGGGAAGTTTAAACTCAAAATAGCTCTTTTCTTTAAATTGCCAGCTCTTAAAGGGTTAGTTCACTCAAAAATGAAAACCTGTCATTAATTACGCACCCTCGTGTTGTTCGAAACCCGTAAGACCTTGCAAATGTGGAATAAAGTGGTTTTTTTTTTTATATGTGCAAAAAAAGTATTCTCGTAGCTTCGTAACTTTACAGTTGAACCACTGATGTCACACGGACTACTTTGTCGATCATCTTGGTACTTTTCTGGACCTTGAACGTGGTAGTTACATTGCTGTCTATGGGAGGGTCAGAGAACCCTCATATTTCATCAAAAATATCTTAAACTGTGTTCCGAAGATGAACGAAGGTCTTACGGGTTTCGAACAACACGAGGGTGAGTAATGAATGACAGAATTTTCATTTTTGGGCGAACTAACCCTTTATCACTAAAATATAGTGTATGACGGTAATAGTCATTTAGTTGTTGTAAATATGTGTTATTTCCTTCTTATTCATTTAAGCAAATAAATAATAAAAAAACACTTTTTTTTTTGTAAAAATCATAAATTCATACTGAATCTGCTTTAGTGTTTCGTCAAAGAAGCTTTAACTGTTGTCCTGCAGTCGCCATGATTTTGCCAAGTAAGACATGTTCCTCAATCAACATCGTTTGTTGGTCCTGGATCAACAGTACTGTCCAAAAATATAGACTAAACCCAATCCTTACCCCTAAACCTAATCCTACCCATAATTTATTCCTAAAATCAGTGTGAAATGATAGCTGATTAACAAGGGTGTAGAAGCACCTAACCCTGATCTTAAGCCTAAAACAGAAATTTCCTGAAAAGTTATCCCTCAATTCTGATCGGTTAATTTGAATGTTGTTCCAGGATCAACAAGGATGTTGATCCAGGAACATGTTGTACTTGGTGAAATCACGGTCACCGTTGTCCTGCTTATGACGCTTCCTGCGCATGCGCTCTACTTACCTGCGCTTCCCAGAGCAACAGGTAAATAGTTGCTCACAATAGGGTAGACTGGGGTTATTGTTCAATGTCACATTTCTAAAAAAATAAATGTCGTCAACAACATCACAAGTAGATCTAGATATTACCTATTATCATTTAGCTAGGTGTTAATATATTTCTCTATATTCTTGCAATAATTGAGTAATTAGGTTCACTTTTACAAGACAGCTTCTTTGAGTTTTCTTACAGCTGCACAAAAAAGCTATATTGTACTCTGACTGAAGTGTGAGTGGGTTGATGCTTACAATACAACTGGAGTATTTAGTCATTTATTCAGCTGTATTTATAATGCTTTTAGAGAAATTTCACAATGGATATGCAACATTTTATTTCTAGCAAGGCTGAACATGTTATTTTCATACAAAAATATGGAGAACCCAAAAGACAATGTACATAGAATATATTTTTACATACTGGTATGCATGGGGAATACAACCATGATTACATAATTTCAATGATCAGTTGATGAAAAACATTTCTTGAAAATCTGCAAATGCAATAAGTGGTCTTAAGATACCCTAGCACCAATAATACGAGCCTTTTATACAATGAGATAAATGTATGGAACAACAAGGACATTGGAATGTATGATAACAATAGCACTTAATCTGGATAGACTATTCACCTATTTTAGGTGATGTCTAATCACAATTTCCTGATTACTGTTGCCAAAGTCTATTTATATCCATGCACATCTGTCTGAGTATGTAAGAGCTGTTACAAACATTCATACTGACAACAAAGCAGCCTCACTGAAAGACTATCCAAATAAAGTGTTACAGATTTCCAAAGGAATTCCCCACATAAGGGAAGGTGCAGTTTTAAAGTAGAACGTGGGAAACATTCTACTTTGGAAAAACAGTGACAATATCATAACCCTCTGGAGGAGTGACATGTTCACGTGCGTGTTTCTCGCAGTAAATCTTGTCCTCGACAAAAAAGTGTCCTTTTTGCTTAAGATTGATCCCGCAGTCTGTGCAGACGAAGCATTCTGGGTGGCGAAACTTATCTCGAACTTTGACCATCAATCCTCTTTATCACCAAATAAAGAGAAAAAAAGTTGTTTAGAAAAACATGTTTGCAAAAAATCCAACAATTATAACGAAATAATTAACAGAGCAAACTCCACAGGTACTATAAAGAAATTGAGTTCCAAAATGTTCCACTAGATGGCAACACTAGCGTAACACCACAACGGCACGATACAGCAAAGTACATGCAACTGTTCTAAGATGCATTTCATTAAAACTTCTCCTATAAAGATAAAGCAAAAAAATGGAAACTTACACAATCCCTGAACCACATTTGTCACAAAGAGAGAGATTTTCAGGATTCCCAACTGAGGCTCCAACTTTTGTGGTGGGGGCTTTGACACTTCTGAAGCCTGAGGGTTTATCTGTATCACCTGACGCAAAGAAACAGAGATCCATCATGTAATGCTAAGGCTTTCTTTTATAAGCCCAAAAATCTGAAACAGAATGTGTTTCACAGCTGTAGTCACAGGCATGGCTTTAGAAACTGATGATTATGAATGACCAGAATCATAGACGCCCATTTTGTCAACAGAAGCTAAGGCCTGCTGGGTGACCTGTGTGTAATTCAGACACAATGTAGTATGGTATACAAGGTTTGTATGAGATTATACCAGTTTCCAGGATCTCCTGCAGAACTTTAAAAGAGGCAGACTGGCGAGGAGGCTCATTGGATTCTTGATTCTCCTGCAGCATTTTGTACACTTCAGAGTCTGCAGCTAACGCAGGCATTGGCTGGCCAGGTCTACAGGGATCTGGGCTATAAAACATGCAAAAGGTCACAATGATGACAGCCACAAGACAAACAATATTATCTCAAAAGTATTATATTATTCAACTCAAACCTAAATGGCTAGTTTCAGCCCCGACAGACATAAATTCAAATAACTATACTAATACAGCACAGAACTGGAATGAGTGTAGCACATAATGATATATGTGTTCATGATAAGTAGGAAAAAAACATCTTTTAAAAATCTGGTTGAAAACACTTGTCAATTCATAGAAACTTTGTATTCATGCCGGTACATGTCATGTTGGTTTTGAAAAACCATACATTTACTATACAACTAAACACAAGAAAAGTTTACATTTAAATGTCACGTGGAGTAACCATCAAGATATATATAATGCATGCATTTATAAAAGATTTCTATTTCAAATAAAGGCTGTTGTTTTGAACTTTGTACTACTCATCAAAGAACCTTGAAAACAATGTATCACGATTTCCACAAAAACATTAAGCAGTACGGGGACAAGACAAGGTTTTCCACTGTCCCCATTTCTTTTCGCAATTGTGGTTGACCCACTAGCAATATATATTTGACAACAGACAGACATTCAACCAGTTGTTGTAGGGTGCCTTTCACAACATATTTCATTATATGCTGACGATATTCTGTTGTTTGTCAAAAATCCCTAGCGAGTCTATTCCACCTTTACTCTTCTCCATTACTAGATTCGGGAAATTATCAGGTTTCTCTGTAAATTAGGAAAAAGTTAATTGATGCCTGTTACTTACACTATCAGTAAGGAGTTTCTAAGATCCACCCCGATTAAATTAGTAGAAAACTCTTTCACATACCTATCTAGAGGCTATAATAACCAAAACCCCAAAATATCTACTTAGAGTCAACTGGCAAAAGAGAATTGACCAGTTAAAAAAATAGCATAGATTACTGGAGTACATTACCAGTATCAATGATTGGTAAGGTCAATGTGATTAAGATGGTGAGTCTGCCAAGATTCCTTCATTTATTTATGTTAATCCCTTCATGTATACCACAATCATACTTTAAACAATTAGATAAGATTATTCATCAGTTTATATGGAACTATAAAACAGCGAGAATCAATAAAAAGCATCTAAGCCAAAAGAAAAAGGAGGACTTGGGTTACCTTTTTTTTAAAGCATACTACTGGGCTACGCATCTGAACATATTTTCCTGGTGGAAAGCTGACTTAAAAGATGATTATGAGATACCTGATTGGCTTAAAATTGAACAGGCCCTTTGTTCCAATTCATCATTGCAGGCACTGTGCAACAGTCCAGGGAAGATTAATAAGCTTATTTATAACAACCATTTTGTGATAGGCCAATCCCTAAAAAAATTGTAAGCAAATTAGAACATATTAAAGCTCCTAATGTGTATGTGGATAGCCCCATATGTGAAAACCATGCCTTTATCCCCGCGCTCAATGACATGGCGTTTTCAATGTGGAAGCAGAAGGGAATAGGCCATATTAGTCCTCTGAATGGAAATGTATTTTCCTTTGAAGAGCTAAAATCAAAGTTTCAGCTACCCAGTTCCCATTTTTTCAGGTACTTGCAAATTAGAGACTACCTCAGAAAACAATTTCCCAATTTCATGCGATTAAGAAAACATGACATATTAGAGGAAATAAATTGATTTAACACTGGTAATTGTAAAGCAAATTAATGAATTTCAAGAAATCAAGAAAATGATTTCTGAAAGATCATGTGACACTGAAGGCTGGCATTATAGCTACTGAAAATTCAGCTTTGTCTTCCCAGGAATAAATTACATTTTAAAATATATTAAAAATAGAATCAATTATGTTAAATTGTAATAATATTTTACTTTTATTGTATTTTTGCAGCTTTGGTCAACATAAAAGACAAAAAATGTTGTCAAGGTAAAAAGCATTTTTTAAATAAAAATATAGGATTATACTATTAGTTAGGGCTGCACGATTATGACAAAAATCATAATTGTTGATTATTCCCTTGAAATTGTAATTGCGATTATTAATTAC